GGCTCCCGGCGGCACGGCCACCCCCTCACCAGTTACTACCAGTACGGGCTGGGCGTGCTGGCGCTGTGTGTGCACCACAAGCGGGTGCGGGAGGAGGTGATCCGGCGGCTCCTGGCGGCCCAGCACCATGGAAGGCTCGGGCACGGGGGCAGTGCTGTGGGTAAGGACCCACGGGCACAGGTGGTGGCGCCCCGGCGGTGTGTGACCCCGGGCTGACACCGAGGTGTCCCTGCAGACACCGAGGCCGTGGTGGCTCTGGCTTTCACTTGTCTGGAGCGGAGGAAGTTGGTGGGGACTGAGCTGGCGGCCGAGCTCCGGGCAGCCGCACACGGGGCCAGCAGGAGCATGGCCGAGGCCCAGGGCCCCGACGGCATCATTGGCAACATCTACAGCACCCCATGGGCCCTGCAGGTGGGTGTCACCTGAGGGGACATCTGAGCTGCCACTGGCAATGGGCACGGTGGGAAGTGAGGCTGCAGATGTGGGGTGCAGATGTGGGTGCAGATGTAGATGTGGGTGCCCAGGCAGGGGCAGCTGCCCCCGGGCAGGTGATGCTCAGCAGTGCAGTGCCCAGGTAACCAACCCTCCTTCTTCTTCCCACCACCTCCATCCCTCCCTGTCCCAGGTGTTCCTGGCCACAGGTGCGTGCCAGACGGAGCCGGCGTTTGTCCAGGCCATGGCTGCGCTGCTGGAGAACCTGGAAGCCTTTGGCACCGCCGCCACCATGGCCCAGGTGCTGCCGGTGCTGCACGGCCACTCCTACCTGGACATCGCCTCCATGCACTGCCAGGAGGAGCCAGGTGGGAGCAGGGGGCAACAGGACTGGGGTCAGCGCTGGTGTCCCCACATTGGCTGGGTGTCACCAGATCTGTGGTGGCTTCTCGCAGACACGCTGACAGCCCTGGACATGGAGCCCCTGGCTGAGGTGCCGGGGAACAAGACGGTGCAGCTGGTGGTGGAGTGTCCCCTGCCCTGGTGCTACGACCTCCGGCTCTATGACCGCCCCGTTCTCGTGCCCGCCGCCGCCTCCCTCCTGGGCGTGCTCCAGGCGGCTGCTGCGCTGGAACCCCATGACTTCAGGTGCGTGGGGGTCACGCTGTGGTGGCCGTGTGTCCTGCGCCTGTGCCCTGCACCGGGCTCACCCTGGTTCCCACCACACAGCTCCCTCGGGAGCAGCTCTGTGCAGCAGTGCCGAGGCCGGACCCTCACCCCCCTGACCCCACTGTCCCACCCCCCAGGTTCCACACCCAGGACACCCCCCAGGGCCCCTTCCTGACCCAGGTGCTGGGACTGGAGGCCCGGCAGGAGAAGCGGAACTACTGGCAGCTCCTGACCGCGCCCAACACCCCCCTGCAGATGGGTGAGTGGTGGGTGAGGGCTCCTGGGGAGGTGGCAGAGGTTCCCCACAGCCCCTTGGCTGCTGCCTCACCCCAAACCATTGTCCCTCTGTCCACAGGTATTGCTGACTACAGACCCCAAGATGGGGAGACCCTCATCCTGCGCCTCAGCGAGTGGTAGAGGGTGGGGGGTGATGACAATGAAACACCCACTGTGGCACAGGACCTTCTGGCTGCCTGCCTCCTGCTTTCCCTGGGCCAGCCCCCCAAAACTGCCAGGGGCAGGAGGAGGGGGACACACGCGATGCCCTGTGTCCTACAGGTGCAGTGGGACCGGAGCACCAAAACCAGCAGCTCCTCCAGTCCTGGTCCCACGTGGGAATGGGGCTGGCAGCTGCTGGGAGCAGCCGTTTTTGGGGTGTCCAAAGCCTTTTTGGGACGGCCAAAGATTTGGGGAGTCTGAGTCGGTGCTGTTCATCCTCAGCAAGGTGCGAGATGGGATCCTCCTCCTCTGTAACCCTCTGGGGGGTACTGAGCCCCCACCGTCCCAGGGGGTCCAGGGGACCGCGCTGCCCGAGGGGGACCCAAGGGTGTGCCCAAATCTGCGTGATTCCCCCGGGAGTTTAATCCGCTCCCCAAAATCACCGGGGCAGAGGCGGTTTGGGGCCGGGAGCCGGGCGGGGGCTTTG